CCCCATCCCGCCACTGTGTTTTCTTCTGGTTTTGGTCCGTATTCGTGCCCACTTACCTATGCAAGAGTTATAATGTACACCCCCCCTGTGGTCTGTTTTTTCATTTATTTTAGAATGTTTTTAACCGTGACATTTTAAGACCAACACCCCTCCTCCTCCTTCTCTTCTTGATTGTAAAACAAAACAAAATGAGAGCTCTTTCCGCCATCTTTCCGTGCCGCCATCATGGTGCGCATGAACGTCCTGGCCGACGCTCTCAAGAGCATCAACAATGCCGAGAAGGGAGGCAAGCGCCAGGTTCTCATCAGGCCATGCTCCAAAGTCATTGTCCGGTTTCTGACTGTGATGATGAAGCACGGCTACATTGGTGAATTTGAAATCATTGATGACCACAGAGCTGGGAAAATTGTAGTGAACCTCACGGGCAGATTAAACAAGTGCGGAGTGATCAGCCCGAGATTTGACGTGCAGCTCAAAGATCTAGAGAAGTGGCAGAACAACCTGCTCCCCTCCCGGCAGTTCGGTTTCTTAGTGCTGACGACCTCCGCCGGCATCATGGACCACGAGGAAGCCAGGCGAAAACACACGGGCGGGAAAATCCTGGGCTTCTTTTTCTAGGGATGTAATGCATCGAAACAAATAAAACGCCGAATGGAAAAAACCAAAAAAACAACAAAATGAGAACAGATCATAGGCAAAGAAAGTGAAAACTCTTCTTAGACGCTGAAGTGTCTCTTCAAGAGTTTTTCCCTGTTTCTATTAATACATCATCCTTTTTATAAAAAAAAAAGTGGAACCATAGTGCACAGCTGTTTAAGTTCCTGTTAATAAGCATAGACAAAGAGTAGCATTTTCCTGGGTTGTAGGAATATAGTACAATTTATTCACCCTTTTCTATTGTTGGCATTTCAAGGGCTGAGGAACCCTGGTGGTTTCCTGGGGGCTGCTAACCCCCAAGTCAGTAGTTTGAAAGGACCAGCTGCTCTTTGGGGAAAAACAAGGCTTTTCACCCCTGTGAAGAGTTACAGTCTCAGAAGCCCACAGCGGCAGTTCTACCCTGTTCTATAGGATCACTATGATTTGGAATTAACTAACTAGTAGTTAGTTGTTTTTAAGATTGGCCACTATTGCAAAAATCTCCACACAGAAGGGCACATCTCTCCTTAGGACTAATTCTTAGAAATGGAATTGATAAGGCAAAGGGAATGCCCGTGTCAACATTTTGGAACGTGCTGGTTGTCCAGGCTCCTCGCTCCCTGTGGAATTACCTGTTCACTCTGCTTCCCGGAGTGTCCTTCCCATTGCACCCTTCCTCTCCCGCGTACTTGGTTCTCAGGAGAAGCCAGTCCCTGGAAAAGGACATCTTGCTTGTAAAGTATAAAGTCAGCGAGGGGAGGAAGACCTTCAATGAGATGGATTGACACGGTCGCTGCAAGAATGGGCTCAAACATGACTATTTGCAGGACGGGGGCAGGGCCGCGTTTCCGCGTGTGATAAGGTCGCTAGGACCTGGGACCGACTGAATGGGCACCTAGTCCAACAGAGCTGCACGAGGACCAGTGCTGGGAAACGAATAAACCGTCTAACAGCCAGCTCGTTGCCCTAAGGACCGTTTTAAGCATGAAAAACGATACACCGAAAGGTAGTTTATTATTTCAACACGGAATCCGAACCCTGCTGTAAGCAATTGAATTCGTATTTCCACCTTGGGCGACTGCGCAGCCTCCCACCTTAGAGAGAACCCTGATTGTAGTGCCACTGAACAACCGGTTCTCCGAAAACAACAATAAAAGTTAGGGACGGGCTCTGCCCAGCCAGCACGAGCCTACCGAATCCCCCCACTGATAATGACTCTTAATTAACGCTCAAAGACCAGATCTTCCCGTCTACAGGCAGGGATTTCTTTCCTCCTCAAAGAATCAAGGGCTTTAGTTAAGCATGATGTCATGGAGAACTAGTTTTATAAACATCTCAAAGGGACCTCTCCAACCCAGGTACAGGCCATCGCCAGAAAGCCTTGGGGAGGCACCGTGTCCCTGCACGCGCCCATGTCGCCGCTAGATGGCAAGAGAGAGGCCTCCGAGGACCGAACGCCCCAGTCCCAGCGCCGCCCGCCCTTCGCCTGGATCGTCCAAAGTCGTGCCCTGCAGAGGAAACGACCCGAAGGTCCAGGGACCCCGAAGACCCGGGCCAGGAGATGGGTTCAACTTTCTAGGAAAGCAAGTGTGGGCTAAGGAAGTGAGGTGCGGCTGTCTCTATCGCCGCCCAGAATCCGCTCTCCACTTGGCCCTCACCAAGTTACAGGCTCCTCTGTGATGCTCAGGTTCGACTGGTACATAACCTGGGGAGGAAGCGTAGGGGTTCCACGTTGGGTTGCGAAGTACAAGGTCAGCAGTTGAATCCGCCAGCCGCTCCGCAGGAGAAATACGAGGCTTGTAACTCTTCTTTTAGGTAAAGAGCTCGTCTTGGAAACCTGCAGGGGCAGTTGTCCCCTGCCCTATAAGTCACCACGAGCTGCAAACGACTTGATGGCAGTGTTGTTGTTTTTTTAACCCTGGGGGAAGATTGTTGTCATCTTCATTGAGAAAATACATCAGGGCTATCATCCTATTATCGCTATACATCACCCCACCCTCTTAAAAACAATTCCACTCTACAACACCTAGTGTTGGTCTATTTCCTGAAAGTATCTTTGGAGGACCAAAGAGAAGACTACAGATTTACTCCATTCTCTCTTTAGTGCCCCCTCTAGCCCTTTATCCCCAATCCGGAGAGGGATGCTGTACATCCTGGCCCTGGCACCAGGGAGCCCAGGAGTGGTCCACATGCAGGGAAATGACTTCGGATGTTTTGGGAGAGTTCAAAATTAGCATTTGGAGAAGCTCATCAGGACATAGTCTTGGGTCCACCCTGCACCTCTGCTCAGTTCCCTGTTGGAGGGGGTGCGTGGTGACAACCCTTAGGAATGAAGTGGGGGAGGGGGCTAGGCTCTGTGTTGGTGGTTGCCATGGTTTTACCTTGAGTTCTAGAGTCAACCTTCCCATTCCCTGGGTGACTCAGGTCAGAGACCACAACAGACCAAAAGCCTGAGAGGACATGAGGAGTGCCACCCTGGAGTCTACCAGCAAACCTCTGGAGATGGAGGTTTCAGAGGGGCACGGGGGTGAAGCAGACAAGCCACTAGAGAAGGTGATGTGGGGCTGGTGGTGCGAGGGAAAGATGGGGGGAGCGTCAGTGTCAGCCAGCGGGAGTTCCTGGGAGGGAGAGAAGAGAGGAAAGCCATGGGATCCGCGAGTTAGCCAGAGGCGTAGAGCACAAGGGGAGGATGCGTCATCCAAAGAAAAAGTTACCGAGGTCATTTATTCCTGGCAAGATGATGAGCAAGAGTCCCAACTTAGTGTTGGTTATGACATCGTAAGGGTGCGTGTGTGCTTGTGCGTGTGTGTACGTGTACATGTTGATGGTCAAGCCAAGTTCACTCTCTAGTGCCTTCTTGAGGGGCAGGCCTGGAGCATCCTTATCCCCCAGAACAAAGGTAGAAATGAATGGTCCGTTTTCAGAGGCTCCTGAAAGATGAGATGTCACCTCAATGGTATCAATCCATGCTACGCTCTGATTTCTAGTATTATTTCACCATTGCTTTGCCTCCATTAATTTTCTTGATTTTTCTCCCTTAATTTTACTGTTAAAAAAAGTAAATACATTTTTTTTTTTTTGGCTGCATATCTTGATGCTACATGTCAGGGAGGTGAGAGTGTAAACCTGGGACCTAACCAGAAACCAAAGCAAAGATGTCGCCCTCGAGTTAATCCCTGTCTACCCTATAGGACATGTAAAACTTCCTCCCAGGGTTTCAAGGGCTGGAATCAGACTGCCCCATTTTTCTACCACAGTAGCTGGTAGATTTGAACTGATGACCTTTTGCTTAGCAGCCAAATGCTTAACCACTGTGTCACGAGGGTTCCTTCATCCTTGGACTTTGCTGGATGAATTAACCAAGGACGCTCTCTGTTCATTCAATCCTCAAGGCATCATTTAATTCTGTTAGTACCTAGGATCCTCATTGATACATAGAGCTAATGATATAGAACCTCACAGAATTTGTGAGAGAATAAAAGGAGCTAATACAGTGAACCCTCGTTTATCGCAGTTAATCGGTTCTAGACCCTACCGTGATAAATGAAATTCCGCGAAGTAGGATTCCTTATTTGTAAATCAAACATTTTCGTAGTTAGAGCATAGAGGACATGAAAAAACACCCTTTAGTCACCATTACACTCGTATTACCCAATTTATTAAACGAAAAAGGGAAAATACAGTAAAACATTTTGGACGTTACAATGATAATTTATTATTTATTATATTATTTATGGCATCGTGTACAATATGAGCCAGTGGCAGTAATGACAGAGCATGCGCTGTTACGCAAAAACCGCGATAGAGTGAAGATGCGGAAGTCGAAGCGTGAAGTGGCGAGGGTTCACTGTACTTACCAAGTGCTTTCCAAAGTGAGCTCGTGGAATATGCTGTGATTATGATAAAAATAAATCATGGGACATTCTAGATTGTCTAAGTGGGGATTATCAGAGATTTGTCCAGGGCTCACTCCCGTCGATGCTGGTCCAAGAAGAGGCCATTGGGAAAACAAAGGAGGACTTTGGCAGGTGTTTGGGTCAGCTGTGGTTATCCTGCGCCACTGCTCGTGAACAACGGTCTAAACCTCTCCTGCCGGTTGCCGTCCTCTACCCCCCACCCCCCACCCCAGGTGACTGATGAGCCCTTCTTGGAGAGGAGCTCCAGCCCCATCCGTGCCGGAGACTCACTGGTGCGCCACGCCAAGGGCCTGGATCAGGACACCTTTAAGATTGTAAGTGCGAGGCCGACCGGGGTCTCTGTCCTCTATTCTCTGTGAGCCGACCTCAGACTCATAGCTCACAACCCCACTTGTTACACTCAGGGGAAGGGACTGGGCTAAGACTTCAATGGTGCCTCCTTGCCACAAACACACAATTATTTTGGGGCCAAGGGGGCTGGACTCTCCTAGTTATCCGTGGCTTCTTGAGCCTACCCATCGACTGCTACTTTCCTCCCATGATCCCTCCTCACTGGTTGCTTCCTCAGTGTAAAGAATACCTACGGCCTCTGAAGAAGTCCCTGCGAAAGCTCCACTTGCCCACGGACCTTCCCCAGAAAAAGAAGCTCAAGTACATGAAGCAGAGCCTGGTGGTCCTAGGGGACCACATCAACACCTTTCTGCAGCACTACTGCCGAGCCTGGGAGATCAAGCACTGGAGGAAGTAGGACGGGCTCTTTGACCTTCTCCCTCTGCCCGCTCCTGGGCCACTTCCTCTCCATTCAAAGTCACATGCCAGGCAGAATCCCAAACTTCTTCATCTGTCTATGGAGGAGTCAGGATCTTGGC